GTATTGAATCCTCCCATCCAAGAATATATCTCTCCATTTATTCTAGATTTTCTTTTATATCCTTCAGTAAACCCTATACAGTTTTGCCCCATGAATCTTATAAATTTGTGTTAAATTTATTACTAGGCTTTTTTTAAAAAAAAAAATATATATATATATATATATATATATATATATCTTTTTTTTTTTTTTTTTTTTGGCTGTGCCGGGTCCTAGTTGCCGCACGCTGGATCTTGTTGTGGCATGCGGGGTGTTTAGTTGCAGGATGCAGGATCCTTTTTTTACTTGCAGCACGCAGATTCTTAGTTGAGGCATGTGGGATCTAGTTCCCTGACCAGGGATCAAACCCAGGCCCCCTGCATTGGGAGCACGGAGTCTTACCCACTGCACCACCAGGAAAATCCCTATTACTAGGTTTTAAAGGTTTGTTTTTGTTTGTTTGCTTGTTTTTTATTGGAGTATAATTGCTTTACAATGTTGTGTTAGTTTCTGCTGTACAATGAAGTGAATCAGCTATGTGTATACCTATATCCCCTACCTGTTGGACCTCCCTCCCATCCCCCATCCCACCCATCTAGGTCGTCACAGAGCACCAAGCTGAGCTTCCTGCACTTTACAGCATGTTCCTGCTAGCTATCTATTTTACACATGGTAGTGTTTATATGTCAATCTTAATCTCCCAATTTGTCCCACCCTCTCCTTCCCCCTCCGTATCCACATGTCCATTCTCTACATCTGCGTCTATTCCTGCCCTGGAAATAGGTTCATCTGTACCATTTTTCTAGATTCCACATGTATGCATTAATATATGATAATTGTTTTTCTCTTTCTGGCTTACTTCACTCTGTATGACAGACTCTAGGTCCATCCACATCTCTACAAATGACCCAATTTCCTTCCTTTTTACGGCTGAGTAATATTCCATTGTATATATGTACCACACCTTCTTTAACCATTCATCTGTTATTGGACATTTAGGTTGTTTCCATGTCCTGGCATTGTAAGTAGTGCTGCAATGAAAACTGGGGTACATGTGTCCTTTTGAGTTATTGTTTTCTCAGGGTATATGCCCAGTAGTGGGATTGCTGGGTCATATGGTAGTTCTATTTGTAGCTTTTTAAGGAACCTCCATACTGTTCTCCACAGTGGCTGTATCAATTACCTTCCCACCAGCAGTGCACGAGGGTTCCCTTTTCTCCACACCCTCTCCAGCATTTATTGTTTGTAGGATTTTTGATGATGGCCATCCTGACCTCATTGTAGTTTTGATTTGCATTTCTCTAATAATTAGTGATGCTGAGCACCTTTCACGTGCCCCTTGGCCATCTGTATGTGAAAGGTTTGTTTTTGTTTGGATTAGTGTTTTGCTTTGGGGGTTTTCCCTCCAGTACATTCTCTAACTGGACCACATCTCAGTTACTACTGTTACTCTAAGCTCAACTACAATTCTGACCTCTATCAAGACAGGTTAGTTTTGCCTATTTTCACCTTTATGTAATTATTAGGATATTTTTTAAAACTACTAATTTTTAATATATTCCTCTTAAAGACAGTTAAGACAGTTCAGAATTAATTCTAACATCCATTTAGCACATTTTCTTGGCATATTTTGGTAATAGTTATAGTGTCTCCAAATAGTGACAATTTTTTCTCTTCAGTCTTGGTAGTTATAACTTACTTCTGTTACCTAGCTTACTGCATTGGATAGAATTCTCAGGACAATTTGAATAAATCAGGCCATTAATGTGAAATAATTCTTACATTTAATCCCTTTAAATATAATTCTGACTGATTAGATTAGAAATTGTTTTATATTAAGAAAGTATCTTTCTCTCACTAATTTCCTTTTTTTTTTAACCAAAAGTCTATTTTTGCATCTGTAGTGAGCACTATAAGTGGTATATTGAACAAGAAAACTAGTGGGATGTGATCAAAATGCACCTATACGTTGTTTCCCATGGTCTCTTTAACATGTATTCAAAGGGCAAGGTTTATTGCTTCCCCTTGGAAGAAACTCAAGTTTGACTATTTTTTTTTTTTTGGCTGCAGCGCAGCTTGTAGGATCTTAGTTCCCTGACCAGGGATTGAACCTGGGCCCTCAGCAGTGAAAGTGCACAATGACTGCCAGAGAATTCCCAAGTTTGACTATTCTGATTACTCTTAGGTGATTGGAAGTCCAGACATCATTGTAGGAGGCAAAATGTATTTTTAATTCAGTAATTAGAATGTCTTGTCCAATATATGAATCGAAATATACTAACGCTTCAATCTGCATTCAAAGGTGAGATTTCTCCACCCACACACTTTTAGGTGGGCCTGGTTTCAGGTGGGATGCCTGTTTTTATGGAAGGAAATAAAGTCAATCTCTTCTCTCTTTTCCACTCACTCCCTTGGAGGAGGAAGTGAAAGGGAAATAGACAACTTATACTTAACTTCTACTATTGTAAGATGACCTCATATTCTCTGAGCCTAGAAAATTTGCTTGTGAGTAAATTTTAAAATAAAATATCACAAACATATAGAGAGGAGCATACATGACACAGCTCAATGAAATTTTGCAAAATGAGATTATCCATGTAACTAGGACCCAAATCAAGAAACAGACTATTGCCGGACTCCAGAATTCTCTCTTGTACCACCTTTTAGCCACATGCTTACTCTAAATTCAACCACTATGCTGACCTCTAATAATATGGGTTAGTTTTGCCTATTTTTTGACTTCTCTGTAAATGGCATTATAGAGAATGTAATATTTTATATCTCATTTCTTTCACTCAACATCTGTGAGATTCATTCATATCATTGAATGATTGAGTAAGTCATTCTTTCACTTACTACTGGATAATATTCCATTGTCTGAATATACCACATTTACTTGTCCATTCTACACTTGGGAAGCCTTCAGTCTGGGCTAATACAAATAATTCTGCTATAAACATCTTGTACATGTCTTTGATATACAAAAGTCTATAATTTTGTTAGGCACATACCTATGATTGGAATTGCTGGATCAAAGGGACCATCAAATGTTTAAAGCTATCTTTTTCTGCATTGAGACTTTTGTGAACACTTCCTGAGGCTCCTTGCTGCTATCCTCCGTCTACAACTCCCATGACATGGGCAACAGAATGGTCTACCGCTCTCCACTCATCTCCTGGGTTTCCAACGGTATTCCACATGGTTTCTCTTTTGGAGTCTCGTTGCTCTTTGCATGAGTCTTCTTGGTCAGGAGTCAACAAGGCTCCAGTCTGCCCCACCTTCTCTGTTCCCCCACCAGAGGGAGGTATGTTCGTTCTCTAAGAGATCTTATTAAAGCCCCTGACTTGGGAATCGGGAGGAACCTTCTACCTCTGCTGCTTGGGGCATTTGAGACACAAAATATACCTTAAATTTTCTCTAAAAAAATCTCTTCAGAATTGTTCTTGAATCCCCCCCCACCCTGTATCTGGTTCTTTTTAATGTTCTTAGAGTGGGAATGGGATCCAAGATGAGTTATCATTCGTTTGAAAATCTGAAGATTGGTCTGTCTCATGACTCACTTTGAAATTAATCCATCATTGCTCAGTACCTCAGTACTTCAAGTATCATACTTCAAGTATAATATCCTACCACATAATCACTTTTTCCACTTTTCCCTATTAATATGTTATTTAAGTATTGTCTAGAGACTTCCTTGGTGGTGCAGTGGTTAAGAATCTGCCTGCCAATGCAGGGGACATGGGTTCGATCCCTGCTCCAGGAAGATCCCACACGCTGCGGAGTAAGTAAGCCCGTGCACCACAACTAGTGAGCCTGCACTCTAGAGCCCATGTGCCACAACTACTGAAGCCCATGAGCTACAGCTACCAAGCCCACGTGCCACAACTACTGAAGCCTGCGCGCCTAGAGCCCGTGCTCTGCAACAAGAGAAGCCACTGCAATGAGAAGCCTGCTCACCACAACGAAGAGTAGCCCCTGATCACCACAACTAGAGAAAGCCCGGGTGCAGCAACAAAGACCCAATGCAGCCATAAACAAATAAACAAATTTATTTTAAAAAATATATTGTCTAACACTGAGTCATCTCTGCAATTCTGAAACTACTTGATCATCACGTTCAAGTTTGTATTTATTGTATTTGTAATAACTGTTGGATTTGAGTTGCCATTTTTTCTTAAATTGAAGTGTAGTTGATTTACAATGCTGTGTTAGTTTCTGGTGTACAGCAAAGTGATTCAGTTATTCTTTTTCATATTCTTTTCCATTATGGTTTATTACAGGATATTGAATATAGTTCTTATGCTATACAATAGGACCTTGTTTATCTAGTCTATATATAATAGTTTGCATTTGCTAGTCCCAAACTCCCAGTCTATCCCTCTCCCACTTCCCCTCCCACTTGGCAACCACAAGTCTGTTCTCTATGTCTGTGAGTCTGTTTCTGTTTCATAGAGAAGTTCATTTGTGTCATATTTTAGATCTCACATATGCCTGATATCATATGGTATTTGTCTTTCTTGTTCTGACTTACTTCACTTAGGGTGGTGATCTCTAGGTCCATCCATGTAGCTGCCAATGGCATTATTTCATTCTTTTTTGTGGCTGAGTAATATTCCATTGTATACATGTACACATCTTCTTTATCCATTCATCTGTGGATGGACATTTAGGTTATTTCCATGTCTTGGCTATCGTGAATAGTACTGTTATGAACATAAGGGTTATGTATCTTTTTGAATTATAGTTTTGCCTGGATATATGCCCAGGAGTGGGATTGCTGGATGATATGACAACTCTATTTTGAGCTGCCATTTTTAAAAGTTTGTAATTATATTCATAAATGAGATTGGACTATAAGGTTTTTTAATGTTATCTTTTATATGTTTTAGTGTTAGCATTATATTGGATTTGTAAAATGAATTAGGGATCTTTTCATACTCATCTTTAAATACTATAAGAATAACCTTTCTTTGAAAGGTTGAAAAACTCAACTTTAAACTTCTATGCTTGATGTCTTTTAGGGAGGAAGAATTTGACTTGAAAAAACCACAAGGGCCCCTAAAAATAATTGTGGAAGAATTGGGGGAACCATATTGGAATTTGAATAATCACATGAAGGGGTAAGAAGAAGAGAAATAAACTTGCTACTGTTATTGGGATCTTTTTTTTCTTTAATCATAGAGAAAATATTTGCATTGAGAATTTGCTACAGTCAACAGAATCTTACTCTAGATATTCCAAGCAGAAAGGTATTTGTTATATTTAATGCAAGAGTTTACTGAATAATCTGAAAGACTGGAGAAGAAGGCTTTAGGTTGAGTGTAGTAAATAGTTAACATTGGTGGCCTGTAATGAACCATGCTTCTTGGTTGTCAAACCCTTGTGGAGACCCCGTCCCTTGAAACTAGAATGGCCTTGTATCTTATCGTGACTTATTTTAACCAAAAGAATGTAATGAGGTGACACTGTGCCAGTTCTGAGCCTAAGCTTTGGGAAGGCCTAGCAGCATTTGCTCTTATGCTCTGTCTATAAGAAGCCCAGCTACTCTGTGGGAGAAACCAGATGCAGAAACCACATGGAGAGTTGAGGGCACAAGACTAGATAGTGAAGACCTGAGGAACCCAACCAAATGTGAGAAACAAGGCCCCCTGTTTTCTGTGACCTATGTTGAGCTCTTCCAGCCAGCCTCTAGCAACCTGAGTTACCCAATGTGAGGCACCAGACGTGTAAGTTTCACTTACATCTTGGATGGACCAGCCTCCTGCAGGCACCACATGGAATAGATATGAACTTTGCCTCTGTGCCCTGTTCAAATTCCTGACCCACAGAATTATGAGAAATAATAACACAGTTGTTGTTTGAAGCTCCTAAGTTTTGAAGTAGTTTGTTACACAGCAATAAATAAACAGAAAATGCTCCCAAACCCCAAGGGAAAAAACCTTCCAAAACCAAATTGACCTGGTAAGAAAGTTTCCACCACCACCCATCTTGGAAACATTCTGCCTCCTGTCCTCTGCCAGACAAACAACTGCTTTCCACCCTACCCGTGTCCTCACCTCTGAAACAAAGTTTCATGCAAATGCTTGTGCCTGGTGCAACTTAGGTCACAAGTCCTAAGCCTCTCACAACGAACAGAGAGCCTGGGAAACATAAGTTTGGGGATTCTAATTTGAGAAAGGAGATTCTTACTACAAAAAGTTAACAAACTTTGAGGGAGCTGTTCAAGAGATTTTAAGCAGGCAAAAAATGTTTAAGTGTAAAGAATTGTCTTACAAAGCTAAAGTTTGATGGTCATATCCAAAGCTATTATTTCTATTTCTGTTGTAGTTTATTTTATTATTATTTTTTTATTTTTTATTTTTTTGCGGTACGCGGGCCTCTAACTGCTGCGGCCCCTCCCATTGCTTAGCACAGGCTCCGGATGCGCAGGCCCAGCGGCCATGGCCCATGGGCCCAGCCACTCTGCGGCCTATGGGATCTTCCCAGACTGGGGCACGAACCCGCGTTCCCTGCATCAGCAGGCAGACTCTCAACCACTGCGCCACCAGGGAAGCCCTATTTTATTATTTTTATCTCATAATTCATAGTGCATTTTTCTTATATTTTGCCCATACCACTACTACCTCTCACTTCAACTCCTAATAGATTAAGAGCAGCTTGAAGCAGCAGGCATAGGTCGTTCTGCAAAAAGGTACAAGTTTGGCTAAAGTTTTAAGGTCCTTTATAGGTTCCAGAACAACTTAACTTTTATTTTGCCTTCTGTGGGTGGTTTATTTTGTCTCTGGTTTTAGAAATCATCCCATGTTTGTACTCACTTCCATTTTTTCAGATTTATCAAGGTCTATTCTACATGCCAGAAAATTTACCCATTGTATGTGTACAATTACATTTGTTTGTTTTTTATAAATTTACAGATCTGGGCAACCATCATCATAATCCAGTTTTACAGCATTTTCATCACCAGAAGTTTCCCTCATGCCTGTTTCCAGTCCCTTCCCACTCCCACCCAAACTCCAGGAAACCACTGATGTTCCTTCTGTTTCTGTAGATTTGCCATTGATGGACATTTCATATAAATGAAAATATATAATATCACATCCATTTTTAAAAGAAAAAAGATTTATGTTTTTTACATAAGTAATATATGTTTGTTCTAAAAACTTCTGAAATACAGGTTAAAAAAAGAAGATAAATATAAAAACCAATTGTAACCCCAGTACCAGGAACTAACAGCAGTTAATATATCAGTATACATAAAAAAGAAAGAGTAAAGCCCAAAGTCTTTATTGTGGTCTACAAGTCCTGCATGATCTAGACTCTTTCAATGTCATCTAATGCCTTATTCCCACACCCCTCTTCACACTCCAGCCAAATAGGTTTTATTTCAGTTTTAGGACTATTCCAAGCTCTTTGCATATGCAATTCATCTTGCCTGGAATTCTTCCTTCATCCTTTGAATGATTAGCTCTTTCTCTTCCTTCAAGGGACTGTTTAAAACTCATCTCTAAGGACATCATCCCTCACTACCCTGCCTAAATTAGTCCCAGACTCACCCTCTTCTTCATATGTTTCCTTCATAACACTTGATTCAATCTGAAATTATTTTATTCAGTTGCCTGTTTGCCTTTTTGTTTGTCTCCTCCAATTGACTGTAAATTCCATGAAGGCAGAATGGCCATATCAATTATATTTAGTGTTGTATCCCTAGTACCTCTCCTCAAACAGGTAAGTATTAGTGGAATGAATGAGTTGAATACAGTTACATATTCTCTCCATGCCTTAGTTTTTTCATTAAAAATGGGGGGACAGCGGCTTCCCTGGTGGCGCAGTGGTTGAGAGTCCGCCTGCTGATGCAGGGGACATGGGTTCCTGATCCGGTGCGGGAAGATCCCACATGCCGCGGAGCGGCTGGGCCCGTGAGCCATGGCCGC